GAGAAAAGTTTTCAGAATTCTGGTTGGCGTAGATTGTCAGAGAATCTTACGTATATCACTCGCTGAAGAGAGCGCTGACATTCCAATCGTTCGCGAAAACGCTTCGCTTTGTAACAGCGAGCCTATTTAAGCCGGCAGTAAAATATTGATTTAGCCGTGGAACTATCATGATCATGAATAGGTTCTAGCCCGTCCGAGGAGTGACAGGTCCGTGGATCATTGTGCTAAGCATTGTACGACTTTTAGCAAACATTGAAAGAATTTTCACACATGAGTGATTGAGCATTCCAGCGTTATTGTTGGTGCTTGCAGGTTATCCGAACAAACCTCGCTATTTGTGCCGCTTGCGCAATCTTGTTAGTCTAAAACATAATAATTGTTGGGGCTTGACGTCCCAAAACCGCCATACGAATATGGGACACCGTAGTTGAGGGCTCTTGAACTTTCGGCCACTTGGGGTTCTTTAACGTGTACCCAAATCTATGCACATGAAGCTCAAGCAATTGTCGATTTAAACCGTCGAAAAGCTTCTTACACATGGCTGCGTCGACTGCGCAACTGCTTTTGTGTGCAGTTGCTTGTTTTGAAGAGTGTCAGTCCGTTACCCAGTAGAGCGATGGCTAGAACCTACGACCTTGGACATATCACAAAAACCCGCTGATCTGTCGAAGACCAGTTATTAAGTTGCTTTCGTGAACCTCATATTACATTGTTACGTGGAAATAACAGCAGACATTCTGCAGCCGCAACACAGCTCACAAACACCGTCAACCTTTTCACTTCCAGTCTGAGGCGCGTTTCAGGGTATGTCCCACTATGCCCTGTTACCGTCAGCTGGAACCACAAAACAATATATTCGTCAATTTAGAAATACTTCTGCGCTTGGAAAATATCCACGTCTCAACGCGTTATCCCGATATTGAAAACTGGTGATAACACTGTCTTCAATATATATAGCCCATTATCACTAACCTCCATTGGTTGCAAACTACTTGAACACATAATATTCACACACAATATGACACATCTCGATTGAAATAATTTACACATATACAATCAGCATGGCTTCCGACCGAAACTCCCTATGTCAAGCGCAGCTCTACGAATTGGTAACAGACATTCACACGTCACTGCACTTGTCCTATTGTGTTGACGGAATTTTCATTGATTTTTCTAAGGCCTTTGACCGCGTACCTCACAAACGACTAGCACTAACGATAGGTAGTCTTGAACTTGACGATGAAAAAACATGATGGCTCCAACAATTTGTAAAGGATCGTTCTCAGGAGTTTAAATAAATGATAACATATCAAGTCCCACACTTGTCAAGTCTGGTGTCCCTCAAAGTGCAGCATTAGGTCCGCATTTATTTTTTTATATATAATAACGACATAGCTCAAAATAATAAACTGACAGTTCGCCTTTTCGCAGACGATTGCGTTATGCACAGAGAAAAAGGGGTCCTAACAACGTAAAAACCTTACAATTCGACTTTCAATATATAACAATGGTGCGACGAATTACAGATGGAAATTAATCCAAAAAGATGAAGCACTTGACCTTCAATTCTGTCTTTAAATAAAAAACTAATACTTATACACTAAATGGAAAAATATTATTCTCAGCTTTAACGGTTAAATAGCTCGGCGTCCGTATCAGTTCGAATCTAACATGGATTGACCATGTAAAACATACCTGTAGAGAGCAGAAGAAACTTGGTTTTCTCAAACGACGTTTACATTTAACTGACAGGGACACCAGGCTCCAAGCTTACAATTTTCCCGTGCGCTCTTCATTAGAATATGCATAAATCATTTGTCATTTTACCAAGCCAGTCTCACTAACATTCTGGAAGCCGTACAGAATAAAGCAGCACGATTCATCTTATTCTTACACTCGCAATTTCAAAGCATTTCACCTTTGAGAGCAAAGCTGAACATGCCGCCGCTTGCTGTGCACAGGCAAATTTTCAGATTGTCTTTTCCACACCCTGTATCATTCTAATACATCCTTTGCCCGGACGCAAATGTTGCCGCCATCTCATACTTCTAGTCGCACCAATCACACTTTTAAAGTCAACTCCATCTGCGCGCGCACAGAAAATACAAAAATTTGCCATTAGCATTATCAACGCATTACCTTCCGGGATTGCTAATATAACTGTACTTTCTTTAATTCAGGATCGCTCGCTTACTTAGAACCACGTAACTTTAATTAACAATTATGCTTCATCGGATGTTGTATTACTTCTTGTATTGCTTGCTGTATTGCTTGCCTTGATGTTTATAAATTTCTGTATTGCAAAATTCAATTATTCTACAATTCTTTTTCTCTGCAAAAATTTGTTTTCGTGTTCCCCCTTATGTAATGCCTCTAGTGGGCATTTGGGTACTTGAATAAATAAATAAATAAATAAATAAATAAATAAATAATAAATAAATAAATAAATAAATAAATATTTATACCTGCGCTTGGGCATCGAAGGCCAGCGTACCTTTGTGCCAGAGTACTTTTCATCAGGCTTGGTTGAAGCTCCATCTTGCGACAAATTTCAAAATTCTCAATGGCTCACCCGCAATGAAGAAGTTGCCTTGAAAACTTCAGTTGGTTGGGATTGAGAATGCTACATCGCTTTCCCTTTCACAAACTCGTTTCATTTTATTTTCTTAAAGACCCACGAGGGGGTATTACATAAAGAGTGGGTAATTATAAAGACAAAACATAGAAGCCAAAGATTTAACATAGAAAGTGCTTATTGATATTTTCTATGAACGATGAACCCATGCTTTGAAGCTGAGCATAACACGACGGAGCCTGCCGTCGTGTTTCGACTTTGAAGGGGCCGCGGAAACCTCAGCCACGTCTGTGTGCACAAAGGCCTCCCAACCTTGGCCAGGAGGCGGTACGTTGCGCGCGATTCACCGCCTTTCTAGCAAAGAGCGGTTGCTCGGTACCCACGTCTGCGCTTTCTCAGCACGCGCTCTGCACGCGCTGTTGTGTGGTCGCCCTGCACGTAGCAGCATCACCCACGACTTGCTCTGTAGCGTAGTGTCAGCCAGCCGGCTAGGGAAAAAGATGAGCGCGAATGGCTCGTGGCGCGAGGTGCCTGAGAACATTCAATGCTTCTAGCTGGCAGGACGTCATGGCCACTGCTCTACTTCGGCAGCTCGCTTCCTCCTGTACGTCTCGTCTGCTGATTTAACCTGCGACGACGGCACGTCGGATGCCGTCACGTCGCTACACCCCCAAAGGTTGAAAAAGATAGTAAAAACGTTTTCACGGTGCGAATCTTACCAGAACCGAGAGCGTTTCCTTGACATCCTCTGTGGGACAGAGCAAGTCAAACACCATGTTTTTCAGCGAGTGCTATGTGAATGTCGATCGTGAACAGCTGCATTTCTACAACATTAAAAGTGAGGTGTTGGTGCGATTTTTATGTGTATGTTAGCAGAAAAATGCGCATTTGCTGCGGCATTCGTGTCTTCTTGGACCTGTCGGCAAACTACCAGCACGCTTTCAAGTGCATTCCTATTACTCGAATGTCAAGTTTGTCATGCGGCTTCCAATTGAGTACGGGGACAGTGTGAAGAGCTTACGTCGTTTGCTGTTCAGTCGCCGGCCCCATTTTAATGTTAACAAGGTCGTATTGTATGTTCAATGGCACTTGATATTTTGCAGCTTGTTTGAAAGTATGATGCGCGCAAAAACAGTATTTTGCGTCCCACTTGAGCATGCATGGTTCTTGCAGTGCATATGTCATTTCGGATAATATCTACGCCTGACAACGCAGCGCGTTCAGGGATTCGAATGTCGATTTGGTTGTTTTGACAGCCCACTTGCTCGTCGTCATATCACACAACACCCACTAGGAACAACCATATTTTTAGTTACGCCGAGATTCGCCCCTGAAAACCAAGTCCATTTTCATGAAACCATCGGAAATTTTAGATCTACTTTGCTTCTATTTCAACTCGTTTTCATAGCGGACTGTTTATCACGCACGGCTAGAGCGCACGCAAGGGCATATATTTTACGCGACGGAACCATATCATTAGGAGACACGCCGTGGATTTAGACTCCAGATTTATTCCGGCCACCTGAGGTTGTCTTTTTTTTAACGTGCACCTAACTCCAATTGAAATGTTTACTGGCATAACTATAATGAACAAAGGGTACACACAAAGAGCGTCGCTTCTGTTTACATTGAGCCTCATCCCACCAGTCCACTTGAAATATGCAACACCAACGCATCCTGTATCATTCTTGCACCAAAATCTGAGCGCACTGTTATGGAGTTTCGCTTCCGTGGAAAGACAGCTGGCGAATGCGAGAACCGAACTAATGGCTTCGATCCTAGCATCGAAACACCTCATCATGCTAAGTTATCGGTGAGTGTTGCTTGCAAGACCTTTACACGTATAAACACTCAGGGCGAACTCGCTACCACAAATCTGTTTACACTGAGCGGCGACGAGAAGTCTACGACGATCAGCTGAATGAAACTTTCAGGGCTCAGAGTAAGGTATTGTAAGTGTATTGAGCTAGCAAGCTTCGCCACTTTCGCACTACCAATGGTTGTCTCGGAAACCCAGTGCCCAATCGCAAAATGTACAGCGGTTCTCTATTTGCTGCCACTTCAGTTTACAAACGGTAGAATTCGACGGGTAGTTTTCAGGTCTTTGTCACGTTTAAACTTTTGTAGCAACTCACAATGCAGCAGTAGTGCATGCCTCCGTTCCAGGATGATGAAAGAGTGACGAATGCGAGATAAATGCGCCGAGGGACACGTTTTTCGAGCGCGTGAACCACGCAAGCGCAGCCCGTCCGAGCGACTTTACCCTCTTTCCTCTGGGTGGCCAACAACGTTGCGCAAGATTGAGCCTGTCTTCCCTATGGCCTGAACTAATGGGCACGGCGTAGCACCTATCTAGCAACCCCCTCACCTGCCGCGATGGAACACACACTTCAAACCGATGCCCATTCCATTAGATTGCACTTACCTTTCCCAAGAAGCCTGTGCCTCCTGTAATGAAGACTGCTTTGTCACGGAAGAAATGTTCGATGGGTGAGTGACCGCCCCGCTTGCTCTTGGCACCGTTCATTGGAGCTGCTTGAACCTGCAAGGTAGGCTCAGTTATTGACGGAGATTGCAGCTGTACGAATCGTAGCAAAAAAAAACAGGCACATTGAGCAGTCAACCCGAACAAGCTTGGCGGCCCTCGAGTAGGTTGTATGCATTCCAACGCTCGTCTCATTTGGCTTTATGATGTTCGATTGACGCCAAGAGCAATCGCACACACACAAGCGCCAGCAAACTAGAAAAGCTAAATAGTTCAGGCACATCAGAAGCGGAAAGAGACCGTCCGCGACGGTGCACGTATGGTGCCAAACATTTTAGGGTAGCCTGCAGCACTGACAACAGGTGCCACCGGCTCGCATATCTCATTTCAGCGAGATGAAGCGCCTTTACATGCAGCATTGGAACGTCTCAGTTGCAGTAGCCGCCACATTTGAGAAATAAAGGTGTGCATAGACGAAGGAAAGCATAGTTCACATTTTCATTATTTCACATTTTCTCAATCCGTATGTGAGGGTTTGCCTCACCAGGTTGTGCACGCTTCCGTGCGCTTGCGCGTGCGCCGCAAGTGTGGCGACGATTTTGCGTTGCGTCAAGTGGTCGGTACTGTCGTGCTTCTGCATTTTCCTTCGACCGCTAAGGGGCGCATCAGGATTCCACTTCAAGATGGGGGAGAGGGAGATGACAAGGAGGGGCCCACATCAAGAAAGATGGCGAGCATGCAAAGGACATTCTTTCGCAGAGACTATTTCAAGGAAATTGCAAGAAGAAATCTTTTCAGAATGAATTACTCGAAAGCACCTCCAACCATCACCTTTCTTTTTTTTTTCATAAAGGCCCGGGTACTCAGATTTGGGTGCACGTTAAAGAACCCCAGGTGGTCGAAATTTACGGACCCCTCTACTACGGCGTCTCTCATAATCAAATGGTGGTTTTGGGACGTTAAACCCCACATATCAATCAATGAAATCAATCAATTTTTTTCTTATAATTCAACATCAACACTCACGAGTGCGACAATGCTTGATTTCTTATATTTCATAGTGCACAAAACAGACAGGGCGAAAAATGACAATTCAGCGAATTGCTTTATTTTTGCAGTGCTTCTTCATTTTTCGTTAGTGGTGATGTAGCGGTTACAGTGGTCGGCTGCTGACCCGATGGTCTGATCTTGATAGAAATGCTAGAGGCCCGCGTACTGTTGGGCACCTAAAAGAACACCAATGGTAAAATTTCCAGAGCCCTTCAATATACAGCGTCTTTTAAAATCATAGAGTTTTGGGACTCAAAGCCCCAAAAGGCAATATTACGTTATATTTTTTGAAGTGCAAGTACGCAGTGCATATGCCGCTTCAAGAAAATAAAGCCTGTGTTGGAAGCTATGGCAGTGTCCAGTCCTTCTCGTGCTCAATTAATTATTTTTCCTTAATTTGATGGTATATCATGCAGCATATACGGCGCTAAAAAATTGAATCGTTTATTCTTGAGGAACAGTTGCATGAAAATACGCCCTTACTCTTTAGTCCAAAACTTAATGTTAGATATTTGGCATAACTGACATTGTTGTTTATACAGTCAGTTAGATGTAAAGCGTAAAAATATGCCATAATGAGCGCCACAGATCAGTTAATTATATTTGGTTGCTTTAGATTGTTAGTTAAAGTTCACTTTTAAAAATACTTTGTTGTAGTTACATGAAGCACCCTATGCAAATATTGCTATACGCGTGTGCCCTATTTTCAATTTGGTTTGATTAAACTTTCGCCCACAACCCTTGGGTCTGGAATGCTCAGCGCAAACTGTGCCTCTACTGTTAGAGAAGGCTTGCGATCATTGTAGATCGTTTTGTTAAGATTGCGCGCAAGACGGGAACACATCAGGTTATTCCAGAGCTTGTGCGACGGCCAATGTTATTGCAGGAATATTCGACAGCACATGTATCAATGCGGACGCGCTTCACCATTCGTTAGTGAAGCGACGGCCGACGCTCAGTTCACCGCTATCAGTGCCAGTGTTTTGCCCGACTTTCCTTTTACGTGACCGTTATGTGATTATGGTTTAGCCTTTTACGTGGTTAAGCAGTTTAACCTGAACATTTAGTCTACTTCTTTCGTCCTTGTCATGGACCCGCGACATTTGATGGAGGTGCTGCTTCTTTCATGGTCTGGATAAGCCCGTCAAGCCACGAACTTAGCCCGAGTGGGAAACAAGACACCGACGCCAACCGCGAACTGCAAGGAAGCCTCATGCAGGAAGAGGGGACTGCCGCCACTGTACGAGCTTCTTCCCGAACAAACCAGGCAGCCCCGGGTCCTGACATGGACAGCAGCAAGCATGACCGCCCCCGCACAGCATGCCTCAATCCTCCTCCGGTAGCCCAAGGAGCCGCCAACCTTACGCAGATCGTCGATCGAGGACCCGGAAAGCTGGCTCGACCCATACGATCGAGTCATGCTTTTCAATGCTTTGACCATCGAAAATAAGCTTAGGCACGTCTACCTTGATTTGGAGGACGCAGCTCGCACCTGGTCCGAGAACCAAGAGTGAAACCTCATAGCGTGGGACAATTTTAGGGCCAAGTTTTCCGCCACTTTTACAAGTGTGGTCCGCAAGGAGAAGGCTGTAGCCCTCGTAGAAATCCATGTGCAGCTGCCAAACGAAAACTTGGTGCTCTTCGCGGAAAAAATGACCAGACTTTTCCGTCACGCTAACCCCAAAATGCCTGAGGACAAAAAAGTATACCTCTTCATGGATAGAGTCAAGCAGGAGCATTTCGCGGGACTAATACGTAATCCACTGAACAGCGTCTTAAAATTCGTATCTGAAGCGACAACTATTGAAAAGACCCTGGAAATACGCACACGACAATTCAACCGCCACTGGACACCAGGCTATGCATGGATGCAACCACTCTGCTCCGACGATCTAAGTGAGACCTTAAGGGCTGTAGTGCACGAAGAACTTTGTCAAATGTTCCCGTCATGCCAGCCTCAAGTTTCGTCAATCGCAGACATCGTCACAGAAAAAGTCCAGCAATTGCTGGGCATTCACGAGTCATCGCAGCCGCAACTCCAAGTCATGAGCTACGCAGAACTTGGGGTTGCGCTAGATGTTAGACTGTCTCCACGTACACGTCAACTACAAATAAAGCCACAAAACGTCGAAGTTGATTGATGATTGATTTGTGGGGTTTAACGTCCCAAATCCACCATAAGATTATGAGAGACGCCGTAGTGGAGGGCTCCAGAAATTTCGACCACCTCGGCTTCTTTAACGTGCACTCAAATCTAAGCACACGGGCCTGCAATATTTCCGCCTCCATCGGGAAATGCAACCGCCGCAGCCGGGATTCGATCCCGCGACCTGCGGGTCAGCAGCCGAGTACCTTAGCCACTAGACCACTGCGGCGGGGCCAAAACGTCGAAATTGGAAAAAAAACAAAGAGCTAGAACGAGATGCAGGGAGCACGAACGTGGTCAAGCCTCTACTCTCTGTCTCTATCCTGTCTTTGTGTCTTTGTCCACGAAAGCCCAATGTGTGGCGCGTCCCCGACCAGCAATCTGTTTGCTAACACTGCGGAGAAGCTGGCCATACCTACCACCACTGCCAGTCCCGCTAAACGGGACTGCGTAGTTTCACCATCGACGCGATGCGTTCAGAGCACGGTGAAAGACCATGCGACATGGCCGACTACGTCGCAGCAATGCGATGAGCGCCCTGAGGTTCTTCCCGTTCACCCTCACCTGCAGTCGCTGTACTTGTCGCCTCACCACCGGTCATACACTGGCCTAACCAGAGGCTTGTCGCCTAGTCCGTACTCGAAAAACTAAGGGCATCAACCGATGGAGGTGCGGTTGCTGTACGACGAACTACCAAAGATCCTCCGCCGATGACACCGCCGCGAAGAACTAAGAACATGCCACAGGCAGGACGGAGATATGAAGTCAAAACCTCGTGGTTGTGAGTAAAGGCGAATACACATTGTAACAGCACAGTAAATCGTTGTAGATGTGATCCGACGCCGCGACGTAACTGCAACGTAAGGCGACGAACTAGCGACCTCGACGCTCTCATCGACGGCTACAGCGTCACAGCTTTCGTCGACACCAGATCTGACTATTCCGTAATCAGTGGAAGATTCGCCACAAAGTTGAAGAAAGTTAGGGCCGCCTGGAAATGCCCCGAAATCCGTATAGCTGGAATTCGCCTATAGTTACAGCGGCAGGAATCTGCACAGCAAGACCACCATTACAAGCCAGATTAATCGCGCAAGCTATATCGGATGACATCCTTGGTAGGGACTTGTTAAGTCTATATGGTGCCGTCATCCACCTGGGAACCAAGTCGATAACACTATCCAAAGGAGAATTGGTATAACGCGAAAGCGAAAAGTGTCTTTACAGAAGTAGTAGAACGTTCATTGTCTATTGTTTCAGGAACATTTGAATATTAAGACGGAACGCAGGTAAGCGCACGAGTTCACAACTACATGGAAATAATAAAGAAGACCATAAATAACCATTTGCTTATGGTATTTTATACGTATACCACTGCAACCACAAGCAGCATTGAAATACTTCTAGCGTCAACAGCTACATAAGCATTCACAATATTGGTGTGTATTTCAGCAAGAAAGTTTATACAATGTCTTTGGCAAGATCCGCTGCAACGTGTCGAATGAACGAGCTATGATAGTTGTTAGTGGCGAAAACACACTTACCACTGAGGTAGCTCTCACCAAAACTTCTAATGCGCAATATTTGACCCCCAGAGAGAGCGCGATCTAACTGAAAAACGCAGCAGACGTTGAGACGCTGCTTCCTGCGAGTTGCTTGAACGAAGGCCAGCGACCACGCTGCACGAGAATGAGACAGCCGAGCACGAAGGGGGAAAACGGAGATTCGCACGACACCTTCCTGGAAGCACACCTATTGTGATTTTACCAACCTAGAAGTTTTTGACGCAGTAAGGAAGGTCCAATGACGCAAGAGGCTAGGCACGTGGCTTGTTCGCTGATTGTCGCCTCCTTGGTCCGTTTGCGTCACGTATGCAGCTCATATTTTTCCTTTCTAAATTGTACTTTAGCTAACCTGCAAAGGTTCAAAAGTACCGTAGCGCACACAGAGGCCGTAATACGTACGAGAAACAAACGGGTACGTAGGCCTTATTCGCAGCATGGGTTGTTCATGAGACCTAAGGCAAGCCTAATCTCGCGATGCAAATACAGCCGAGCAGAAGCAGTCCGCCGTCTCGTCTTACTCGTTCGCACAAAATGAACGTGTCATTGCAGAAAGAGGTAATTATGTGTCCTGATGAATACCGCGACCTGCTTAAGCTTGAAAGGCTGTATTAATGCTCGCCTAATGTAATGAAAAGATTTATTGTACAAAAACAAGGAGATCGGATCTCGTCATGCGTAAAGCCAGTACATCGTAATAATTTTGCAGCAAGCTTTGACGACAAAATTCAGTAAAACCTACGTGCTGGGTGCCTGCGGAGAGTTTTTACCTAATCTTATTGGGCCTGTAAGTGTTTCATAGCGAAAAAAAAAAACAACGCTTAACAGACGGGTAGGAGTAAAAAACGAAACACGATGGCCCTTAGAACAACACAAGTACATATGAGTATAATCTTTAGTTGTCCCCGTATCTTAAGCACTTTTTTGCGTACCGCGAAAACTTTCAACCCATCCGTTCGCCCGCCCGTCCGTCCGTCCGTCCGTCTAGCTCCTACGTCGGCATGCTCTCGTGATCACCTCCTTAACTTGGGGTGAACCAAATAAGTATGGGAGGTTAAGAGCGTAGAACAGATTATGACTGTCTGGTCATCACATGAATAGTGTGAAAATGCCATCCCTGTACAGCGTCAAAGCCTCTCCTCCAGACACGGGTGGCACATACAGGCCGTGGTATGCGGGTATGTTCCAACAGACATTAGGCAGTTATAGTTTACCGTAAGCGACATAGCGGTGGTTAAGAGAATAGCGTTACCTTTCAGGGAATGTTCTTTGCGGACAGCGCCTTATAGTTTAGCGGAATAGCGTTTACGTGGTTTATGCGCACCAGATGGGATGGTGGCCCCACTTACCGTATAATTATTAAAGAAGAGTGAAAACACAAAAATAAATGAGAATGCTTGCTTGTGTCACCACGCGAAGCACTATTACAAGTTTTTTTAGCAAAGATGAGAGTAAATAATATGAACTATGCACAAAAATGCGAAAAGGTATATAGGTGTCAATATGTATACAAAATTTTTTAGTTAGGCCTAGAAATGTTCGAAATGGGAAGCTATCTCAACAACCACGCTAACTTATCTGTAATACTCGGCCATCAAATAAAACTGAAAGCAAGTGATGCCATTTTAAACTGTCGTTTGCTGCGAACAAAGTGAATCTTTCACCACTACGCCAAACTCAATTCGAAGTGGGCGTCCGTAAGCGCCGCCATGTTTTGCGTACACTACATACACGAAGCTAACATGGTAACGTAAAATCTGAAAAACTTCGTGCGTACAGTGAGGGGTGCGGGTCAAATACGTTACTGCTTTTGCGCACTTCTATACAGCTATCTCGGTAAGCCCACTATCCCGCTAAGCTCGGTAAACTAACTATCTATTGCTAAATTAAACGTGAGGGCATCAAGGAAAACCGACAATGACACCGTTGACCCGACAAATGCAAAGAAGATAAGCAAATGTCCCAACAGTAATTGACCCATGCATTCAGCGTGGCAGTAAAATATTCTACCACAGAGCCACGCGTCAGGTCTCGAAACTCCTTTGGACAAAGATCCTATGCACGTGTACTGCTGGTGACACGATCATTGTGCTGACAGTGCTGCCCACCTAAATTTGTAAGCGTATAAATGCAGCATGACTAGGACGAAGACAGGAGAGACATAAAACACAGATGAGCCCTGCATTACAACTCAGTTTACTTGCACTTCAACGTTACACTAATGGACGCTGACGTTGGCTTTTTGTATAAACTTGTTTGACGTGTCTCACTTTTCGTGTTTTCGTTGGTCATTTCATTGCGATAGCAGTTATATGGACACTCTTGGCTGGTTTTTGCCACCGACATTGGCGTGGACGTCGACGTTTGTGGCCACCATCAGTGAGGGTATATGTTTCTATATATATGAAAACACTAGAAAGAAATATAATTCATAAACTGGCAGATCCTACGTACAGTGAGAATCAATAATACGCAAAGCATGAATGAGAAACGTTGATACGTCACCTTAAAATCAGCACAACACTAATCAGCACAAACACTAAATTATGCCATAAATGACTTTCATGTTATGATTATCATGTTTGGACGCGTCATTTACCTTCGTCTATTCACGTCACCTAATACTGAATTTGGTATGTGTGGAGCCAGAGAAACGGCCGCGAGTGTGCTATGAGCGTAGCCGGTAGTCATGTTTTACACGACACTCATATCATGATTGTCATGTTTGGACGTGTCATTTACCTTCATCGTCTATCCACAACACGTGATTCTAAATTTCATTGATTGATTGATATGTAGGGTTTAACGCCCCAAAACCACAATATGATTATGAGAGACGCCGTATATAGTGGAGGGCTCCGGAAGATTCTAAATTTGGTATATGTGAAGTTCGCGATACGGCTGCGAGCGCATCACGATCGTTGTATGTTGTCTTGTTCTTACATGACACGCATGTTATGATTATCCTGTTCGGACGTGTCATTTACATACGTCGTCCGTTGCCTTCATGCAATACCGAATTTGGTATATGTGGAGCAATCGAAACAGCAGCGAGCGCGTCATGAGTGTGGCGTGTAGTCATGTTGTTACATGGGACGCATCTCATGATTATGATGTTTGCACCAGTCCCACTTCCTTGTCCTCCGTTGACGTCTCGCAATATCAAATTTGGTATATGTGAAACTAGCGAAATGGCGGCGAGCGCATCATGAAGGGCCCGATATACTTCTACGTAACGTTGACGCGCGCGCACGCTGGGCGCAGCGACGCTACGCTATCAAAGTGCGAGCACTCTATTTGCAATGCCCACGGGCCGGGCATGCAATCCAAGATGGCTGCGGGAAGATGATCAACCCGTGAACTCGCATAGGAAAAGATAGGACGCACGGACGGACGCCCCATGCCACTTTCAGCAGATGAACTCTTGATCATCGAAGAAATGTATATCGAATTAAAGTACTTTCCCAAACGATAAGAACTGCTAAATGTTCGCGACCTCATTTTTAGCCGCAGTGCGAAGGGTGGTAGTTTCAGCTTAATCAACGACACCTTGCGTAATCCTGCGCGTGCTACAGAAAACTGCTCCAACTGGAATTGACCTATGAACTGAATGGTACTCCGAGATAATATCTGCCGAGCCAGCCTGGCAGATTTGCTGCAGTAGTATAGCCACTAGGAGTAGCGTGCCGTTGCGGCTGCAGAGCACCGAATGTTTCACATAGCGATGGTTTGCAAACATATTTATGCCGTCTTCATTACTTGCACTGTAAGCATCATGCAGCTGCTTCTTCAACAGAACGCACGCATTTATTTCCCTTTAAGGAGCGCTTGTGTCACAGCCATGATGAAACTAACAGAGCGCAATTCCCTGCACTCGGATGTTCAGCTTTATCAGCGCGATCGAAATAATATATCGAAACGAATACACGCGTACACTTTTTCCAACGTCCCAATTGTGAAAATTCGTCAAACAACAACGTTGTTCGAACGGCACCTGTGAAGTGTAGGAAAAATTAGCGTGAACAATACTCGTAACTGCACATTTCATTCCTCTAACCATTTTGCTTGGCTGGTTGATTTCGAGCCTATTCGCGGCATGCGGCACTTTGTAATAACCACTTTAATTGTGCTACATGCAATGCACATGAATAATGATCATTTTATTTTGAGCTCACTGATGGATATTGTACAACAAATTAAATCAAAGTGGCTTACGAGCGTGGAAAAAAATAAACCCACGACGGGACGTAAAGTGCAACTCGCTGCCCGTAAGTTAGCAGCTAATTGTTCATCGTCGCTGTCACTCTCGGTGCCTTCTACATCCAGTGAAAAATCCTCGATATCAAGACGGTTCTTTTGAACACCATTGCTGAAAGTAATCAGAGGGATTCTCTCCGCCAAACGACTTCAGTAACCAACAACGTGTCATTTACCACGCACAACACAACACGGCGTCACCCCAGAACACCTACACACTACCATTTGACGTCACTCACCACGTTTATTTGGGCGCGGAAAACAATTCACTCCGACACCCGACCAAAAGCAAATCACTTGTTCTGCCATCCATCAACGAACGTAAAAATTGAGGGGCGCAGCGTTGGCCGTTTGGAAGAGCAAATCGCGAGCCTGCACCGCTTTCTGCGTAGAATGAATGTTATGGGATTCATGCACTACAAAAGAACTTACGAATGCTATACGCACGTAAAACAAGGCGAGTTTCAAATGCAAAGGTCAGACAATAACGTTGGACTATCCAATGTGGCTGCAGAAAATCTCTTGAAGCTGGTATGTGTACTCTGCGTGCTATAATCTAAAGCGCGAGTTGTCAGTATTTTCACAAAAACTTAGTGTCGCGCAAGAAGAATTCAGATTTATCGCGTCACGCAGGGTCCGGTATATTGACTGATGCTCGAAACATACAAAGTGGTTCGTGTTCGGTTCTTGCTGACGCGTTAGCACTGAGGCTAGCCCAGCCGAGCAAGGGAGCATCTGCCTGCTGATCATCCTCGAGAGGACACGCCCAAATTCCGCCAGGTGGTGCGGCAGTCTATGAACATTGCGAGTATGGCTGGCGGATCGGCGCCTGGCGTACCATCGCCGGCGTGACGCGACGAAACAAACGCCGGTGCGCACG